GGGGTGGGTTTTCCCCTTCCCCGCGGGGTATCGATGCAGTGGGTCACCGTGCGGTGACTGATGGGGTGAGGTGTACCCGGGGACAGGTGCCCCCGCAATCACCTCAGCCTCCCCGGGCTCAGGAGAGGGTCCCCTCAGGCTGTGAGGAGGCCGCAACTGCGAGGGCAGAGAGAGTGATCCGCAGCAATTTCCCAGAGGGTTGAGTGTGTCATCGTCAGATCCCCTGGATGTCGTCCCCCAGCTCTGCGGTCTGGCACAGCCCAGAGGTGGGCTCGGGGAAGGGCTCCCACGTCCCAGCCCAGCAAACTCTTGGCTTGGGCGGTATAGCCCAGTCGCATCTCGGCTTTTTCTGCTCTTCAGAGGCGTCTGAAACTGTATGTGTCAGTAATGGTTTGTGTGGCCTTGGGAATCCAACAGGGAGCTCTGAGGAACGGCATGACAAAAGAAATGTGATTCCATACCCATCCCAGATGTGCGGAGATAATAGCAAAAGAGGATTTTGCTTCATTTTACTTACATTTCCACCAAAAAAAAAGCAAGTGGAATTCAGAGGTTGAAAAGGGTTTTTATTGTTAACAACATCAAGGAGTTCCTGGGGCTTAATCACTAAGAAATACCTTGTGCAAATGCAGTTGAAGTCTATGAGCAACAGGAATTTCAGGATTTAAAACAGCGTGTATAGTCCCTACGTGATGGAAATGCTGATATATTTGTAACACACATGACAGAGACTTAATTTCTGAAAGATTAATTTTGCAATTAAACTGGACCTTGCTTTGCTTAGACAGAGCTGGTCACTTTGCTGTTAAAGGTAAATAGCAAAATCATGTGCTGCCTCTTTCAGGAAACACAGATGGCCTCGTGAAGCTGGTTTTCTGCCGAGAAAACTTGATGCGCTGTGAGAGCTCTTGGAGAGGATTTCACCTGAACAAAGAAAAGGTAGGAAGTCTTGAAACAAAAGGCTCAAACAGGGACCCGGGAAGCTGATTCTCATCTCTTCCCCTAGCGTGTCTAGGGCTTTGGCTGGGAGCAGGGGGATCGCTGCCAACTTCTACCTCTGTGGCCTGGCAAAAAGTTTGCCACCCTGAAGGAAAACCTGAGAGATGAGAGGCTTAAAACATTCTGTATGCTGGAGAGGCAGCAAAA